ATCACTACATGCATAGTACCGAGCACTTTAGCACACTTCATAAAGGGACAGTACCGAAGCAAAAGGAGCCCAATAACATCTTCAAGGAATGCAAGTAAAGGCAGACTTTGCGCCTGCGAAAAATTCGTAGGTAGCGAGTTTAGAAACAGAGGCGTATGTGCTAGTGGACTGCCCGTGGAAAAAAGGAGGAGAAAAAACCCTTAGAAATGCTCCAAATAAGATCCTACTCGTGCCAAGACAGTAAAAAAAATCGATGTTGTTATCTTGCAAGAAGCCAGAGAAAGTAGCGAGAGAGTGTGCAAACGAGCAAGACAGCAGATAGAACATCTATCAACGTGGGCGGAGTCACTGAATTTATTGGCGGAGTCACTTGCTCTTTGCCGCCGCTACCTTAGGACGTGAAACTTATTGATGCACACTGTTGATGCAGTTCACACTACCTCTCCTGTGAGATGCCTAGATAATTACAAGTGAGAGAGTGCTCTACATTTGAGATTCGAGATCCGTTCAAACATTGGCTGTCCTAGGTCTTATCGAAATCATACCAATTCAGGCTGGTTTGAGCAAACAAAGCGCTGAAGTTGGTTTAAGCGCGGTAAGTTCTGATTGCTGAATTCGAAGCTAAACTTCAATCGATTGCTTAGTGAAAGAGGAAAGATCTATCAGCAGAAGTATTGACAATACCTTATTATTACGGTAGCTCTACATTTTTAAGCGAGTGAGACTAACTATGGTCTAGTTCGCTGGACGAAAGGGCGTGTCATGAGGTGAGTTTGGCGCGATGCCAAACCCGTTCTCCACCAGATAATCGTTCTCGTCACTCGTTTTTTACCAATTATTGTCGCATATCCGCTCCTACAACTGGCGAAGAGCGGGTTTCGCGCCGTGGCTCATGCTGCACTCATACTGCCAGCCACGCCCCTTAATCCCCCGTGAATTAGAGTATACTTAGACGAAGCTTTGCCGTAACCTTACGGAGGCGTAGCGAACAAAAAAAAACTGCAAAGAGCCGAATTATTTGAATTTTTCAACAGGAATCCGTCACCGAAACGAGATTACTCATCATTCGTATCGAAGAACTCGAACTAGCAAACAAAAAAGTGACATTGCAAATGAAAAGGTTGCGGAAACGAATAACAAAGCCTGTGACCCCTGACGACGGCGGCGAGCGAAAGGGCCCGCGTCGGAGCGCAGAGCGACCTTTGTAACGAAGTGTGGCAAGGTTCATATCTGCACATTTGTTTTTATTTATTTGTGGGAAAAGCCCTCTTGGCTGCGCTTCAATCCGCGCCCCTTCTCACGCCCTATCGTTTGCAGGAGTAATGAGATGTCTGAACTACAGAGAGACCGATTTTTTTCTCAAAAACTGGGAGGCAGCATCGTCATTTTGTCATTTTGTGACGCAGTTTGTGTGATCGCTCAAGGTCTTGAGATCTCGAGAATCCCTATAGAGATTACGAGCACATGCATAAGGGTTGCCCAGGAGTAGAGGAGCAAGAGTTATGTTAGAGTGGTGTCATCGCAAAAGTAACCCATGAACAAAAGTTTCCAGAAAATCGAGGAGCTGATGACGTTGAACTCATTTTTGAAGAAATCTTCTGCCGCCGAGGAACAAAAAGAAGAAGAGAAGCCGGTGAGACTATGCATTTGAGATAGGCTGCAGACTCACCTCCGAGGGCCCTGATCCCTCCCATCAAAGGGTCCGCAACTAAGCTCATTTCGTCCCTCGAAAGTGCGTCGAAATAGGCCTGGAAGGTGACGATAGCCAGACTCCTCCTGCAGCCAAGCCCGCACACGCAACTACGACCAGGCGTGAGCCTAACTTAAGCGAAACACGTTACTCGCCCGCGTACCCTCACATTTGATTGTTCTCTACCCTTGGCCGCGACAAGCAGCTTGCCTTTCTTGTTGTTCGCTGCTGGACCTCAGCATTGACGCACATGTCGCACGCTGTGGATACCGCATGGGGTCTAAAACGGCACCCAACGATAAACCCTTCAGCTTCGTTTCAGCATACTTCAAGTGATGAATGTGGCGCTCTGCTGCAGCTGCGGACCTGTCCACCTAGCAGGCAGAAATACAGTCAGCTCCTGCTCTTACCAGTTCTTATCCTGCCAGAAGAGAAGGGCGTTCCAAGGCGGAGATCACAGCGGTGATGCCGTTACGTCCACGTCTGACTTGGATTGCCCCTTACCATTAGAGCCATTTCTTCTGTCGCCTCCCTGAGTATTTTGCTTAGGATTGCACACATTGTAATGCTTGGTTGTTGGCAACTCCATCAATTACAAAAACATGTAAATGACGAAATAGAAAAGTGAGAACGGACAAGTTTTCAGACACCACAACAAGAAGCGATCGCATTACGCGGTCTGGAAATCATCCAACGGAATCACCTACTGGAGGACACAATCCACAATGCGGAACGGACGATGCTTTGCGATTTTTTTGAAGCCGCTGAACTGAAACCGACTCATACGGTAAGCTTTTCTAACATTAAGAAATAGTTTGTTAAGGAAGTGTTGACAGCTGAGGACTACAGGGTTCTGAACATTTGAGGACAACAACCGCGACTCTATATCGTGGACAGGGGCGTCCAATTACAAAACTGTAGCCGCTAAATGACTCTACAAGGAAGAACAAAGCAAAAAAAAACTTTGGAGAACACCCTGAGTAGGGAGTTGGCAGGTTCTGGACGAGTTCTCCGGACCTGCTCGTTTCATACCAGCAAAACTTGTCGCCTCTGACCCGCTAATCGGTTCTTCGCGTCATTCAGTGCTGATACAACCCAACAGTGAAAGAACGGAAAACGGCTTGTGGCAGCAAATAATTTTTGAGTTTCAATGGGCGGGAGAACTGAGGAGGCGTCGATGCTATCAGCGTAGGCCATGCGCCGCTTACTGCCCTATGCGACGCCCTACGCTCTACGTTCATTTCTCAGGGCTTCCTAGTGTTGCGATTATTCCGCTGTAACCTCTCGAGTCCGAGCGGTGATAGTCAGGTGATAGGGGGGAAAGAGGGGATATCATTTGAATACCAGCGAGTGAGAACCCATCAAGTATGCGCCCTATTTGCCCTATGCTCTACGAGTTCGCAGTCGCAGGACGCCTTCGGGGGTACTTGGATGATGACTGAGCTACTTATAACCTTGCCCATCGCACTTGAATCTCAGTGCCCACCATTCATGATTGCGAGACGTGCCTTCAAAACTCAACAGGGTGCAATCGTTTCACGCTATGGGGGCGCAAAAATAAATTATTCTGGGAAGAAAAGATCATCGTTTCAGATTGTCACGATCATCGATAAGGCGCTATCTTACGCTATTGATGTGATACTGATGCGGCCGGATATGTTCGACGACTTTGTCGATAATGAACTAAGGCTATTTCTTCTCGATACCACTAAGGTTAGTTAGACATTGGTAGCACTCACAACTGGGCTACTTTCAGATTTTATGATGACGCGCGTCGACGCGATGTAACGCGCTGTAACGCGCGTCGAAGCGCCACAGCAGCACTGCTCCAATCCCATGGTTGATCAACGGTCCCCATAATATAGCCATTTAATGCAGACGTGCCGATCGATTACCATGTGCGGCTGCCTTCGCGTCAATAGCCTTGCAGCGATGTTGCGAGTGTAGCGCGATACAGCGCGTTGCAGCGCGTCGACGCGCGTGACCGCGAGCTTTGAGCGCTGCCTCAGAGACAAATTGCACACTTCTGAGCACAGTCCCTGAGATGTGCAAGGTAAGTAGTTTCGCAGCAGTAGCAGGGTGCCGCTCTCTACGCTCGGAAATAGACGAGAAGGCGGTACCCGAGTGCCGTCTCCATAACCGGATCCTCAAGGATCCTCAAGGTGCAGCTTTGCATCGATACCAAAGTTCAGGCAGCGAAACACCTACTCACAATCAATGGTAGGCAACCAGAAGTGAGAGGGCGCCGACTTGTCACGCACTTAGCCATTGTTAGGCGTGGGGCTGGCCGTGGGGTAGCGTAGGCGGGATAGGGAGACAGCACTTGATACCACTAGCCTCAAGTCCCTCTCCTGTGCAACTTTGATCGGAGAGTGACACGCTGCTGCAGCTGCGGACACATTCACTTCATACATAACAGGGACCAAGGATCTAGGGAAGTGAGGTAAAGGCAGTGCGCACGATGACTGGGGCCGGACGGTTGCTGTCAGCGCCCTCTCGCATCGCTCCCACCAATGGCGTTGGCAGCAACCGCTCGCCCCCAGCCGTCGTGCCCGCTGCCTTTAGTATGGCTTTCCAATTCAGGCGATCATTAAAATTCAGTTTTTCAGTTTTACAACCCATGCTATTTAAGGCAAAGCATATTCTTCTCGACGTCATGTTGCTTCATCCCGAGTTCGTACCTCGTGCATGGGGAGGAGATGTTTTGATGAAACGCAAACAGCAAGCCATAATTGATGGTGAATTGAATCGTACGGTCAACGTTACTGAAGATAAAACGATCAGAGATGATGACGTCATTGAAGTAGTACCTCACAAAGTAAGAACACCTACGGCACAATCATCTCCACACAAACTATACAAGTCTCCCACTGGGAAGGTGGAAAAACGCGAAAAGAAGTCGTCCTCTGAAGGGACTGTGGGGAAGAAAGATGACGGGAAAACTGTGGCGAAAGCAGGGCAAACAGCTGTTCCTATCAGAAAAATCGAGTCGAAGGACGAGAAGAAAGCAACTGAATCGCCTGCACAGAAGAAACTAACACCAGCTCCACCGTCACCAGCTGCCGTGCAGAAGAAATCGCCCGCCCAAAACGGCAGCCAGAGTGGAGGTGTAAGTAGTTCATTTTCTGCGTAACGGAACGCTTGCAATATAGGGATTGCTCATGCATAAAAGTGCAACAAATGGCCGCGCGCGGTCGCGCAGCTGTTTCCACTGCTCGATGAGCTCTGATGTCCTGATAGTGTGGTATAAATCACATGCTAACTTTTCATTTCTTTTAGAAGCCCACTACTCCACTAGCGAAACCCGCTGAGAAGGTGGTGAACGGGAGAAAGACTCCGAGTCCAGCGGCGGTTAAGCCACCCGCCAGAAATCAATATTGATCCGATCGATTTTCTTAAATATTCGCATGAAACTATGCTTATCGACTCCGTTATCATTTAGGTTAATAATTAATTAGCAAGTGGTTAAAAGTAGTGATAAGGGAGCTTTGAATTTGATTTGAAACCTTACCACAATTGCAGTTTTCAATCTCCTGCGTCCTCTATGGATAATATAGAGATCGGAGATCGGAAAATAAAGCTTTTAATCGGTGAACTTGCAAAAATG